CTATATGAAAAGTGAATTTGCACTGTAAACTTTCACCAAATCACAACTAAAAAAAAAAAAAAAAGGCAATTAGGGTAGGTACTGCAAATCAAAGTGCCTGGCACATAGATGATTAATGATGTTTATAAGCAAATTGGAGTTCCATTCTCACTTTAATGGAGTTCATTGTTTATTGATAGTGCCCTGATATTTTGAAAAAGATCATTTGTTCCTTTCCTTACCTATGTTCCCATAGAACTTACTATATTTTTATTAATGCTTATTTCTCATACTAGACCACAACTTCCTCAAGGGCTGGAATCATTTATTGAAGGAATGGTGAATTTAAATTCTTTTAGTATATTAATAACATCCTGACCTAAACAGGTACAAATGTATAATCCTGAATAGTACCACCAAACACCCAAGAACAACTATTTTCATCTCCAGGGAATCTAGGCTTTCAATCACAACCAATCCAGCGTATTTGTATCTAGGACAGGCCATTAGTTTGTCTATATCATCTAATTATTAGGTCACACAATGTGACCAAGAATAGAGGGTAGCAGTTCTCAACTGGAGGTGATTCTATCCCCCAGGAGACACTGAGCAATGTCGGGAAACATTTTTGATTGTCACAGTTCAGGGAAAACAGTTATTGATATGTAAGGGGGGTAGAAGTCAGGGATACAGTTAATAAACAATGCACAGGACAGTACACATACACACATACCCCCCAAAAATTATCCAGCTCAGGAAAGGAAGAAAAGACCAAAATGGATGTCACAAGACACTCTGAAACTTGTTCTTGAACATAGAGTAGCTTTAGTAAACAGAAGAAATTATGACATAAAAGAGCAGAACAGAAGATTTCAAAGGGCGGCTTGAGAAGACAAAGTATTATAATGAAATGTGCAAAAACCTGGAGTTAAAAAACAAAAAGGAAGAACACACTCAGCATCTCTCAAGCTGAAAGAAGTTAATAAAAAAATTCAAGCCTTAAGTTACAAATGGAAGGATTCTGCGGGCAAAATATTAAATGATGTAGGCAGCATCAAAAGAAGATGAAAGGAATACAGAGTCAATTTACCAAAAAAAATCAGTTCACATTTCAGGAGGCTGAACCAATAGTACCGAAGAAGAAGCCCAAGCTACACTAATGGAACTGGTGAAAAATAAGGTTCTAGGAATGGAAATACCCACTGAGATGCTTCAACAAATGCAAGCAGTACTGGAGGTGCATACTCAATTTATGCCAGGAAATTTGGAAGACAGCTAGTTGGCCAACTGATCTATATTTGTGCCCATTCCAAAGAAAGTATTCCAAAAGAAAATGTGGCAATAATCAAACAACGTCATTATTATCACACACAAGTAAAATTTTGCTGAAAATAATTCAAAAACAGTTGCAGCAATATATTGACAGGGAACTATGAGAAATTCAAGTTGGAGTCAGATAGATCTTAGCTAAACACAAAGAAACCAGAAGGATGTTTACCTGTGTTTTAACAACTATGCAAAGGCATTTGACTGTGTGGATCATAACAAATTATGGATAACATTGCAAAGAATGGGAATTCCAGAAACCTTAATTGTACTCATGAGCAAACTGTACATAGACCAAGAGGCAGGCAGTCATGCAAACAGACAAGGGATATTGAATGCTTTAAAATCAGGAATGGTGTGTCAGAGTTATATCCTCTCATCATACTTATTCAACCTGCATGCTGAGCAAATAATCCACAAAGCTGGACTATATGAAGAAGAATGTCCCATTAGGATTAGAGGAAGACTCATTAACAACCTGTGATATGCAGATGACACAGCCTTCCATGCTGAAAGTGAAGAGGACTTGAAGCACTTAGTGATTGATTAAGATCAAGGACTATAGTCTTCAGTATGGATTACACCTCAATAAAAAGAAAACAAAAATCCTCACAACTGGACCAATAAGCAACATCACAATAACTAGAGAAAAGATTTAAGATGTCATGGATTTCATTTTACTTGGATCCACAATCAACACCCATGGAAACAGCAGTCAAAAAATCAGATGTCGTATTGCACCTGGAAGATCTGATGCAAAAGTCCTCTTTAAGCATTATAGAGCAGAGACGTCACTTTTAAAACAAGGTGTGCCTAACACAAGACATACTTTCAATAGCCTCATACGCATGTGAAAGCTGGACAATGAATAAGGAAGACAGAAGAAGAGTTGATGCCTTTGAATGTGGTGTTGGGGAAGCATACGAAAATATCATGGTCTTCCAAAAGAACAAACAAATCTGTTTATGGAAGAACTGCAGCTGGAATGCTCCTCAGAAGTGAGAATGGCTAGACTTCATTTCCCCTACTTTGGTCATATTGTCAGAAAAGACCAGTCCCTGGAGAAGAATATCATGCTTGGTAAAGCAAAGGGTCAGTGAAAAAGGCAAAGACTCTCAACAAGACAGATTGACACAGTGGCTGCAATGATGGGCTCGAGCATAGCAAGAATAGATTGAGAGGATGCTGCAGGACTGGGCAGCGTTTCACTCTGTTCTACAGAGTCAGAGCCAACTCAATGGCTCCTAACAACAACAGCTCAAAATGTGAATCGTGCCAAGACTGAGAAACCCTGATAGAGAGAAATAAAATATTCTCACCTATTTTCATAGGATTGGAAATTCTTAAAAATTTTTAAATCAAAGTGTTAAACATACATATCTTTAACCCAGCTTTTCATTGCTACAAATTTATTACACAGAAATAGTTGGAAAAGTATACAAAAATAAATGTACATGTACAGGAATTGAAGTCACTCCCATAGCTTAACTCTTAGGCAAACAATAGTCAGGTCTACAAGGTTAACAATTACACCAAGCAGGTACACTCCTTAGAACAATCAACCTTGGGGGATCTAAAGGTCAGGACCTGCACAGAAAGAAAGCTTATAAGGCAGGAATGAATAGGAAAGGACACAGGGAAAAGTGTAACTACAGTAGAGAAGAAGTGAGATGAGAGCTATCACACTGTGGGGATTATAATCAATGTTACAAAACAAAATGTATACGAATTATTGAATAGAAAACGAATCTGCTCTGTAAAATTTCATCAAAATCACAATAAAAAGTTAAAAAAAAAAGTACTTGCTACCATTTCCATATTAACAAATACCAGTCACAACTTATACAACAGCAAAAGATTAAATAAAAATGGCACATATATACAATAATATGCTAGATAGTGATTAAAAATAATACAAACTTAGATGTACTAACACGGAATGAGTATATTGTTAAATTTAAAAAAAAAGGAAGTTATAAAACAGAATGGATAAGGATTTAGCTTTTAGAAGCAAAATATACACACAGAAATTTTTAGTATTAGCACAGAAAAAAATTACTGGAGTCATGTTCACCAATCTGGGAGGTAGGGTTACAGTGAGCATCAGTGTTCTATGGTATATAATTTCATTACTTTTGATACTCACATATTGTTATTTTTTACATTGTAAGTTAATTACAATCAAGATAAATCTTTAAAGATAAATGTAGGAACTCTTCAAATGACCAACACAGTAACACTAAGGAAAAGGAAGACCTAGAGGTACCCAAGAGGTAAAGACAACAAAGATATACCCTTTTCCACACACAATACTGTGTTATCAGTGATAACAAACATTAATCTATGGGTAAATAGATGGGTAGACAGGTTGAATTATGAGGCAAAAGGGAATATACTCATAGCCATATATAAGGTTGACAAACAGTATTTCTATATACATTTTTGTATATGCTGTAATATATATAATAGAGCTAACAAGGGGCAAAGTGATGATAACTTCTTAGCCACAGCCAATCACCCTGAAGGAGCAAATAGTTGGACCATGGTCACAGAGGACATTAAGCTCAACTGGCAAAACATAATACACAAAAATACTATTTTACATCCCACTCTGGTGAGTAGTGACTAGGGTCTTAAAAGTTTGCAAGCAGCCATCTAGATGGGTCTCTCCTTGTCCAGAGCAAAGAATAATGAAGAAAACCAAAGATGTGTAGAAATAATTAGTCCAAGGGACTAGTAGACCGTGTGAACCTCAGCCTGTAAGACCATGAACCAGAAGAAGTAGATGGTACCTGGCTACCACTGTCAACCACTTGGAAAGGGATCAGTGCAGCTGATCCTGGATAGTATGCGAGAACAATGTGGAATTAAAACTCTAAATCACAAAAAAAAAAAGACCAGGTTTATTGGTATGATAGAGCCTGGTGAGAACCCTGAGACTGTGGCCCCTAGTTACGTTACCCTTCAGGTCTGGAATTGAACTCACTCCCATGGCTAGCAGCCAAACAACAGACAGGCATATAGGATGAACATTTACATCACATAGATACGCTCCCTAGAACAATTAATCATGGGAGAACAGAAGGGCAGTATCTACACAGGGATAGCTCAGGGGCAGGAATGAATAGGAAAGAAGGACACAGGAAAGAAGTAACTACAGGAAGAAAATGAGAAGAAAGTTGTTACATTGTGGGGAATTGCAGTCAATGTCATAAAACAAAATGTATGTGAACTGCTGTATGGAAAATGAATTTGCTCTGTAAAGTTTCACACAAATCACAGTAAAAATTAAAAATAAAATAAAAGAGAGTAATGAAGCCCAACATTATGTCAAGCTACAGACTGATGATGTGTTCCTTTGAGAGGGTGCAACAGACTTCCATGTTGGGGCAGTAAATTGCTCCACTCAAATAGTGACATGGAGTTGATGAAGAGCCATGTGACCAGTGAATAACCAAGGGTGATTGCACAGACACTTTTGAGACACCGCAGGACTGTCAAAGTGACTGTTGTAATTAGGAAAAAAAAGATAAATGTAGTAACTCTTACCAATTACACAGCATGTTTCTACACGATATTTATCAATCTCACAGAGGTTATGAGCCAAATAACTCAACTCCGATTTCATGCTCTGGAAGAAAAAGAAAGATGACCTAAGCACGAAAAAGGAATCCCCTAAATTATTTATCTTATAGTTAATCCAACTAGATGACAACCCAATTTAGGAAATTAAAACACAAAAGGGTTTAGTCAAGTCCAAGCAAGATAAGCAGCTCACCCTGACATAAAGAAGGTTGGAGAAAGTATCCATATTTTCAATTCTGTAAGGATCTTGTTTCCTTAGCTCATTAAAAATAGAAAGGGCTTTGTCGATATCTACAGAAAAGAGATAGAGCTTAGAAAATAACACAGCATGCCTTTTAGGGTCTGATGGTATTTCATTGTCCTTATTCACTCACCTCTGATATTGTGATAGGCAACTGCAATTTGGGAAACAATGTATGAGCTCTTAGAGAAGCCCACATCAATAAGATTCTGATACTTTTGCAGGGCCTCTTCTATCAACTGCAACTCTGTGTATATATGAGCCAGAAAAAACTCTTTCATCCAGGTGTCTGGCAAAGACAGGAACTTTAGCTGCCAGCAGGAGAGAGAGGGAGATACTTAATATACTTTAACCTTACTCCCAAATGAACATAAAGGAACTATCTTCATTGTCTCAAGGAATTTATCATCCAAATTGTATTAGAGTACCTAATAATGAATACAGGACAATTCATTTAAATGCTAAAATTGAGTGATATGACTGACAAGCACAATCAGGGAAAACGGTCCAATTAGGAAAGAAAAGACAGGATTTGAGGTGAGTCTTGAAGGATAGATAGAATTTTAATATAATAAATAGAAGGAAAGATAAAGAAGACAACATATTAAGCAAAGGCAACAGCATAGTGGAGCAAAATAAGCATGGTAAGTGTGAGGGTTAGGATGAGAAACTAACCTGGTTTGAGGGGAGAATATGTGCTGAGAAGTAACATAAAAAGAAGACTGAATAAGTAGAATGGGTTTTATGGTACAACTTGAAATGGGATGCAACAGGAAACCAACATAAAATTTTGCAAAGAGAATGACACGATTACATGGTTCTTTTAAGAATAACTTTCAAAACAGTATAAAAGGTGGCTTGGAAATGGGCATGTAAAAATGGGAACGCTAGAGAGGAAGCTTATACAAGTTATCCAAATTTGAGATGATAACCAAGACAGCAAAGGAAACCAAGGGAAAAAAATGCATACAAAAAAGTAACCATGGCAATGTCTTCTGACTAACAAAAGGAGATAAGAGAAGGAGTCTGAGGCATCAAGAGTAAATGTTTTAAGAAACAGTGATGCTAGTAAAAGTCTATCAAGCTCAGAGGAAGGAGACTTTGGTAAGCATGATGAGAAATTTGGTTTTGCATATTTTGAGTTCAGCAATATAACAAAGTTTTCAATGATAGTCTAGTAGGCAGTTAAAGATAGATGAATACAAGCAAACAAAGATAAGAATTCAGAAACAGATTTAGTAGTTATTAGCAAATACAATTATTGATGGAAACAACCAGCTTTTGGGTCTTCAGAACCAACAAAAGGAAGTGTGCTATTATATCCATTAACTACTGAAGAATGGCAAAACAAACTTTATAAACAATGTCCTTTAAAAATGATTAATAAAATGTAGTTTATAAAGCAATTTCATTAAATTAAAAAAAAAAAATCTTTATAGAATCTCATGACAGCTCAGAAGAGACCTGAAAAATGTTTTTTTTTAATACAATCCCTGGTATCAAAGAAACCTCTCCTACAGCATCTTTGGAATTAATGGAGAAACTATAATAGTATTTAGTCTATAAAACAAGTTACTGGAAAGCTTGCACGTAAAAACATGAACATAAAAAAATATTCTAATACAACTGAATGCAAATCTAACAACTACAAACAAGAGCTAGACATGAGTGTTTCAAATGAAGACCTACATTCCACAACAGTGAAACAGACTGGAGATGTAGCAGAAAGCAAAGGTTTAACAAAACTCTCTCCTCCATCCCCTTGTTATACAATCACTTAAGACCTAGACCACAGGGCTTTTTACTTAGCTCATTTCAATTTACCATCTCTTTGTCTGTGATCAGGTTACAGAGTTCTAGCCAGGCTCCCCAGTGCAAAGGCAAAACGTGAGTAGCCTCCACAAACACATCAATGGCTTCTTTTACCAAGTCCAGTTTTCGAAGTACCACACCATACCTAGGAAAGAAGGAAATAACTGTAAGACAAATTAACACCTTATAACATCTCGCTTCTACTAAGGAGAATATAGCATAGAAAGTCAAACGTTAACACTTACAGATAAAGGCCAAATCCATCCAGTTCCCGACACTGATGTTTTTTGCTGAGCTCCACTCTGAGTTCTCTAAGAGCCTCATTTTTCACTTGTCCTTTCTCTAGGGGACCTAAGAAAAAACAGTCTCTGATCTAAATGAAAGCTACTGGTATTCATTTCCATAGTTGTCAACTTTCTTTCCCCTTAGCCTCAACCACACTTAAATCTAGAACCTCTAGCAAACAAACACTCAAAAGTAACTAATGATATCTTACACAAACTATTTACTTTATCTAGAAAACACAAACTGATACCTGGTCAGCACTCATATTTTGTTAGGCCCACACAATTTCAAACAAAATTTCCAAATTAGTTATCAACATTTAAAAATCAGAAATTTCAACTAGAAATATGAATTTCTAGCTGTCAGGGATAGGGCAAGGCGAAGGAAAAAAAGTCCTGCAACTCCAAGCCTACGTTCCCACAAGACAAGTCAGAGATGAACCATGTGCTCTACAAAGTGCAAAGTCTTCCTTGGCCCACCTCAAACACTTATATTACCTTCCTGGCTCCTATAGGCATTTGAGTTTGCAATCCATGTTTTATCCCAAAAGGTAAGTGAAAGAATTTCGTACCTAGGCTATCAACTGTTTCATCATCCTTCTTCTTTTCTCCAGACTGTAAAAGAAAACCAACAAATAGACCTTTCTTCAGCTTGTTCTGATACATATTCTAAAACTAGTAGACTGATACGACCCTTGAAGCATAAGTCTAACCAAACTGACATCTGCTTTTAGCTACTAATTTAAAACAACTATTCAGAGCTCCCACTGGTCAAATTGTAGACAGTCTCAGTACCTAAATAATTAGGTACAATAACAAAATATACATGATTTTAAAAAAAGGAATCCACAAGTCTATACTGATATTGAATAAAGAGATAACTGAATAGAAGGGAAGGTTCTTTTCAAAATAGAATGCCAGATGTTGACTAGAAAATGTGCACAGAGTGCTATAGTTGGAAAATCATCATTTTGGAATATCATAATAGAGGCAAGTATTAACAATGGATATTATATCTAAATGGAAATTTTTATGAGGAATAGGATATTTGTATTGTCTTAAAGGGTATCCCTACAGATTGCTTATTAATTGCAAGGGAAATAATAGTAACGACACAGTGGAAAAAACAGACAACATCTTGAATGGCTGATCAAAATTATCATTGGAAATGAGGGGCTAATAGTCATAATGTACTATCAAATGCAATGCCCTCAGAAGAACATACACCACTTACATACTATTCTGGCCACATTTGTATAACCTGAATAAAATCATGAGGAAATATCCAAATGTCAATGTCATGAAAGATCAAACAAAGCACTGTGGAAATGCTCCAGGTTAGAGAATAGAGACATGATAACTAAAGCCAAGTCTTAAGTCAATATTGTACTAGAGAGAAAAAGTGCTATAGAAGACATTGTTGGATCAAGTGACAAAATTGGAATTCAATGGCAGATTAAAGTATGGTATCAATGTTAAACGTACTGAAGCTGATAACCACACTGTGGCTATTTAACACAATATCCTTAAGCTGTCCTTCAGGTCTGGAATTGAACCCACTCCTGCGGATTCCAGCCAAACAAAAGATAGGCATATGAGTTGAACATTTACATTAGGTAGATATACTCCTTGGAGAGATCAATCATGGGAGAATAGAAGGGCTGTGTATGCACAGGGAGACAGCTCAGTTGGCAGGAGTGCATGGGAGGGAAGGACACAGGGAAGACGTATACACAGGGAGGTAGTGGGAGGGGAACTGTTGCATTCTGGGAAAATGCAGTCAATGTCATGAGACAAAGTGTATGTGAGCTGCTGTATGGAAAGTGAATTTGCCCTGTAAACTTTCACGCAACCAAATGACTCTCATACACTGCTGGTGAGACTGCAAAATATAACTACTGTGGAAAGCAGTATGGTGATTCCTTAAAAAGTTTGAATTAGAAATACCATTTGACCCAGCCATTCCATTACTAGCTATATATCCTTAAGAAGTGAGAGCCAGGACAAGAACAGACATATGCACACCCATGTTCATCACAGCACTATTTAAAATAGCCAAAAGATGGAAACAACCTACGGGTCCATCAACTGAGGAATGGATAACCAACCTATGGTACATACACACAATCGAATACTATGCAACCCTAAAGAATAACGTAGAATCTACAAAACACCGCATAACAAGGATGAACTTGGAGGACATTATGCTGAGTGAAATAAGTCAACCACAGAAGGACAAATACTGTATTAGTGCATTATTGTAAAAGTCAAGGAAAGGTTTATCAATGGAAGGAAATTTTCTTTGTTGGTTACCAGGGATGGGAGGGGAGGGGACACTGTTAGATAGGTAGAGATAAGTACTAATTTGGGTGAAGAGAAGGGCAATGTACCAAATGTGAGTGATCATTATGGTGGCATTGAGGAAGAGAAGGACAGAGAGAGGTACATTGGAGGTACAGACAACAAAGATGAACCCTTTTGCACATACAGTACTGCAGTGTCAGTGAAAGCAAACATTGGTATACGGGTGGATAGATGGGTGGACAGGTTGAACTAGTAGGTATGTTTATGAAACAGGGACTGTACTCAAGACCATGTATAGACAGGGTTGGCAGACAATGCTCCTATAAGTGTATTTGTAAGATCTGTAAGAATTCCCAGGTGTATACCAGAGCTGACAAGGGACAAGGTTGTAGTCACTTCTTGGTAACAGACAGCTACACAGAGGGACCAGGTAGTTGAACCGGTGGGCTCGGGACCATAGTTGCAGTGGACGTCAAGCTCAATTGGCATAACATACTACACAAAACATTGCTCCACCTCCTACTTTGGCGAGTAATGACTGGAATCTTAAAGGGTTGCAAGCAGCCATCTAGATGCAATGATGGGTCTCTCCTCATGGAGAGCAAAGAAGAATGAAGAAAACCAAAGATATATGGAAACAATTAGTCCTAGCAACTGGTACACCACCCAATCTGCAGCCTATATGACTATGACACTAGAAGAACTAGATGGTGCCCAGCTAACACTGTCAACCACTTGGAGGAGGAGATCCTGGATAGTGAGGGAGAACAATGTGAAATAAAACTCAAAACCATTTGGGGAAAAAAAAAAAAAGGAAATTAAGGGGACCAGGTTTGCTGGTCTGAGAGAGCCTGGTGGAACCACTGAGACTATGGCCCCCTAGTTGCTTTTCTGGTCTGGAATTGAACCCACACCTGTGGCTTCCAGCCAAATAAAAGATAGGCATATGAACATTTACCTGAGGTAGATACGCTCCTTGGGGAGAACAATCATAGGAAAAGAAGGGCTGCTTATGCACAGGGAGACAGCTCAGGGGGCAGGCGTGCATGGAGGGATGGACACAGGGAAGAGGTAACTATTGGGAGGAAGTGGGAGGGGAGCTGTTGCATTGGGGTAAATAGTAGTGAATGTCATGAGACAAAGTATATGTAAACTGCTGTATGGAAAGTGAATTTGCTCTGTAAATTTTCACCCAAATCACAAAAAAAAAAAAAAACTTCACCGGCAACATGGCAGAATAGGCAGAAAGACTGCAAAGACCCTCTTCAACAAAGAAAAGGGAAACCAATTAACCCAGATACAGAAGATAATCCTAGACCCCTGAGCCTTGAAGGGAAGGATATAGAAGTGGACTAAACCCCAACTAGCAGAAGAATTTGCATGAAAATA